GTGCTGCTCCGAGCACAACGTCTGGTGGTACCGGTGGGCACTCAAGCGGCTCCAGCAGTCTTCGCGAAACCCCCAACTGGCCTGTGTGGTGTGCTGCGATAGTGTCTGTGCTAGCGATTCAGCGATTCTAGGCCTGATACACATTCAAATTAACCTGCTTCAGAATATTGACATTTGTGATTCCTAGTATTGTTGAGAGGTCTGGTATCTACTGTGCCAAGATGCGCCTGATGAAGATATACGAGAACATGTTCTAGTTAGAGTATTTACGTATGAATAACGGTCCAAATGGTCTTCGCAAGACTCATAGCATAGCGGTTCTTAAGATCGTAGGCCTTGTAATGCAGCGGGATCTGTTGATGTCTGTTTGTCCAGCTCCTCGGCACCAATTTCAAAACCAAGCTGTGTCTTCTCATCGTACTTGCTAGATCTCAACAAGTTGCTTCTTGCAAGAACGCGCAGTCGTCTCACACGGTGGGTCCAAGACGGAAAATGATGCTTATGGAAGACTGATACATTGGAGGTACGTGACATTAAACACAACATGAAGTGGTGGACAGTGGGTTCAATTACCTAGATGCAAGTCGAGACAAACAACCATAAAGTCAGCCTCTGCTTCCTCATATGGAGGATGCAGGTATACGGAACGAAGAGTGGACATTAGAAGTCACAGTGATAGATAATATAGATAGTTGGCGTATTCGGCATATTCAGAAATCCCCAAAGAAAATCGTGCGGCATGACAGTGACCTCGTCCATCGTATCCCATGCCTCTTTTGACCGTCTGGATTCATATCTTAGTTCGATTATTCAGTAATGCGCCTATTCCCTCGGCCACTGGGCCGGAAGACAGAACATCGTGCTTCTCATGGCCGAACCAGTAATAAAACATCCGCTCTTCTACCAGCGAGATGTGTGCCGGCATCAGCTTCCAGAGGCCAAAAGCGGTCACCGCGAGCAAAGTATATATGAACGTGACTGAGCAGCGGGGTGAGTGTAATCCTAGCATATGGTAGTTCGTAAACTCACGAATCGTGACCTTCTCCCACGGTTCGAGTAGAGAGAGGCCGAGCATCATTTCTACCCATATCCTCCGACGCCATATGAAGGCCGCTATGGGATTCTTGGGCGGGCGGTACGGTAGGTCGATCCCAAACAGGACCTCCCTCGTCGTTGGTACGCGCTTGAACTCTTCGGACGAGATGCGCATTGTTAAGTAGTGGTCTGACCAGTTCGGAGGGAAGGAGGAGAGGCTCGTAAGTTTGGGTTGGAGAGGCGTAAATCGTTCGGGAGAACGGCTACTCTGGACGTTAGAGTGTGAGGAAAGGGGTGTAGAGGCGGTAGGACGTGTGCCCGATGGGCACGGTGAGGTTAAATACTACAGTGCAGGGTGCTGAATCAGACGGATCGTCCGCGCTTGTGTGTGACAAGTCCGATGGTGCTATATTCGGACGACGATTGATGGCTCGGGAGTATCCGTAGTACTTCAGCGAAACATACGCTTTCGAGTAAGGGTTTCTCATGCTTATAAGGTCACACGTACTTTGTGACGATATCTTTTGCGTAGAGAGCGCATAATTGGCCGCATAACACGGTACATGTCGTGTTTGGTACGAAGTTGTCTGAGGCCCATATCGGTGGATGAGTATTTTCGCGCTTCCTGGCACAGATATGTGGCACAACTTGTACGCTCGGTCACGTTCATAAACGACACGTATACGAACTGTTATCAACGATATGACAGTACACGAGTCGGAAAACTTACGTGAAAGGGTTCTCGTCAAACGACGCTGATAGTGCGCTCCGCTGCTCAGAATCGACGATGATCCAGGGTACAATCCGGTGCGTTGTATGTAGATTCTGAGATCAACGGTAGTCTTGTAGAGTAGAAGCCATTAATGACGGTAGGTCAGCGTCCGACGGACTGCAATTCGCAACTTTACAGCACTTGCATTCGACGCCACGATGCTTAGATCGGGTCATGAACAATTCGCGAACTGTCACACAAATGTCACGCCCTTATTGTGACAGGCGGCACGGCTTTCTGTTCAAGACTTCTTGCTCAGTACGTCTGCAAATCATGGTATGATCGTCCATTGCGTCTGCCTGAGGCATGGAAGGGTACGGTGAACGATCTGCCTGTGGGATTGGCAGCCAACGAATGCCTCGAAAATCTGCTACATACGGGACACATGTTCAGTAACCAGGTGGATCGTGTACACCGCGTCGACGTTCAAGGAGGCCAAGATCGACATCCTGACGAAGACAATGGTGAAGGAGATCAAGGAGAAGTTGGTTGTGCTGCAGATGCAGGACAAGACGATCGCGGAGGTGCCATGTGGGATGGTCATCTGGGCTGCGGTGAGTCCTGCAGATTATGGTTTGTGTTGGAGTCGCGTTGACTGAGATGTTTTTTGTGGTGCAACAGGGTAACGCCTTGCGTGGCATCACGCGAGAGCTTATGAAGAAGTTGCCCGAAGAGCAAACAAACAAGCGCGGCATTACGACAGACGGTGGGTGTTCTGGTATATCCGGCACTGACAGCCTCGACAGAGTCTCCGGATGAAGAGCGCAGACGGCGTGTTCGCCATCGGCGACTGCACTGCACCGTCGTACGCACCCACGGCGCAGGTAGCAGCGCAGGAAGGCTCATACCTCGCGCGCGTGCTGAAGCAGTTGGCGAAGCGGGACGCGCAGCTCTCCGAGGCGCAGGCTCTACCTGACACGGACCCGGAGAAGAAGACGAAAATTGAAACGCTGGAGAGCCAGCACGCGAAGCTGGAGAAGCTGGGTCCATTCAGGTACTCGCACCAGGGCTCGCTGGCGTACATCGGACAAGGCAATTGCGGATCTGCCGTTCTTCTCGGGCGGGAACTTCGCCACAGGGGTGTTGCTACGGTGCGTGAGCGTTTTGTGTTTGGGCAATAGAGATATGATTCTGACGCGCGCTGTTATGTGTTGCTAGTGTCTGTTTTGGAGGAGCGCATACCTGAGTAAGCTGTTCTCCTTGCGGAATCGCGCTCTCGTCGCCACGGATTGGATGAAGGCCAAGCTCTTCGGCCGGTGCGTGCCTCTCCTCTCCTCTTCTCGCTGTGTCCGCACGCTGACGCTGTTCGTCTCCGCCCGCTCTATTCCTATTCTACAGTGATACGAGCCGAGAGTGAAGTCAAAACGTGTCCTCACTGCCATGACCACGAAATCAGCCTCTTCAATGGTCTGCACCCATAAGTGCGGGTTGTCTGCACTCCTAGACGTTCGTTAACCCCTCTCCCTTAATGGACTAGTTGCTGCGCATAGATATATATAGTAGTATACGTAGCGGCATATATACGTACTGTTGGTTGTAGCTGGGCATCTCAAGTAGATGCGTGGGTGCCTTTATCCAGCACGTGATGCATGATCCAACTCGTTCCTGTCAGATCTCATCAGCGGTTATCCGCTGCGCTGAGACGGTCTAGTGCTAAGTAGGGATTGGCCCGGGAGTATCAGCCGTAAGAATGCAGATATAAAGCCTGCAGCTACCGTCGAGGGGGGTGGTAGGTAATCCTATCTGCAACTTATGACAGAAGCATCTATAGGCTTAGAGTCTAGCAGCTCATTCCCTGAGGCACTGCCACCTTGGCACAATGACGGCGAATGCTTCTGGCTGTTTGGGTACAGCAGCGGAAAGCAATCTCTGAAGCCCTCGTCGTACGGTCCACTGGAAGGAGCGTCAGCCTTCGCAGACCCTGAGCAGTCTGGTGCGTTTAAGGGCGGATTGTTCTCTGTTATGATAGTACGCTACAAGTCATCACCAATCGGTACGCCACTCTGGCCTTCTCCCTGTGTGCGTCTCATCATGAGCTGTACTAAACCCATTGTGCCCGTGGCCAGGTCCGTACGACGAGATTATATGGAGCCCGGGAAACTTCGAAATCCCTCCTAGTGGGAAGAAGGCCCTACGGATCACACGAATCTACGTGTCCAGCCTAGCATCTGTATACAACGGTACGCACTTCCATTATATCGTTGCAGGTATCTGTTGAGCAGTCGTCACCCGTGTTCACCCAGGCCGCAAGAACTGGAACATATGCAAACATCTCGCCCATTTCAACTTCATCCCCAGCGGCGCCACCTCCCCTAACGCGCTTCCCTACTCCCGTGTCGAAGTCTCCCCGCCAGACGCTCCCGACCGACCATTCTTCGTCATCAACCTTTCAGCCACTTTCATCGGCTCGAACGCGCGTATTCCATTCAACAGTGCGCTGTCGCCCTTAAGTGTTGAGATTGTGTGTCCCCCGCTGCCTCAGAGTCCAGACTGGACCGAAGATGGTCGCGTGGGGACGGATCGTTGGATTTCGATTACGCCTGCTATGAAAGGCAAGGCTGGGCTGTTCAAGGCGAAAGGTGGGCTGGAGGACGGGAAGATGGGCGACGACGTTGGTTTCCCGGATATCCAGCCGTGGACGATCGGAATGTGGTTGAACGAATTCCAGCTTGAATTCCCCATGGGGATTGAGCTGGGGAGGAAATAAGATCGAAGTCAGTGGCGCTCGTCTGCTCGCTGTACAATTCTGCTGTATTATTTCAGAATGTTCGCATGCATTTGTGGATCAATCCCTTTGTCGGTAGCCCGACTTCGCGTTCCTGCATGTACAATTTCCTTAGAGGATGACGGCGCTGCGAGGGCATGCCCAGTCTATGTTATTGGAAGCTTGTCTCAGCGAGACTCCGGACTGAAGTGCAATGTGGAAGTAGAGATTTGTACAGAAGGAGAGTCCATATACATAGTACGCACCGCAGGAGGTTGTGCGCGCTGTGTGTTCGCAGTCTAAATAAGTGTGGGTACTGCACTGTAGCGCGTTAACAGACGAGGAATATGGAAGACGAGCGCCAAACGGCATCATCGCAAGCCCAAATGGGGATGAACGGCTTCAAATTCTAGGCACGGGCTAAGTTCCGCTCTCCAAAGCCCAAAAACTCGATGGTTGCACTCCCAACAGCAAAAAGGGCAAAAGTATTGATGAGAGTGGGATTCGAACCCACGCCCTTTCGGACCAGATGCGTAGAACCGCCTTAGTCTGGCGCCTTAGACCGCTCGGCCATCTCACCATGTGAACAGTGTGATTCTTGCGTTCCATGAGGCCATCCTCATGAGCACGAATTCTTTTCATTTTTGTGAGAAGTAGAATCAGCCTGTGCTTCACCACCATACGAATCGCTCACGAATATCCCACTAGTTGCCCATGATTTTCCCGCTGAGATCTGCCACGACTGACACTCGGTCTGATTGACACCCACTAATGCCAGGTAATATGCACCCAGCTTCATCCGAAACCTGCGATGGCCACCATCCTTGTTAGCGTTGCATGAATACGATACGCTCTCGTGAAGAAGCACACTGAATAGATTTATCGATATAAGTCGTACATGTTTGTATCAAGATATACTGCTAGGTGACCGTAGAGCAAGGCCAACTTTCCACATCCCAGCGAGACACCTAGCTTTGTTCATACGCCCGAGTAACAACATCCGCTACAGCCTTCTTGGGGCAGTTGCGGCCTGTCCAGAGAGCGAATTGCGCGTAGGCTTGTTCCAATAGGACGTCTAGCCCACGTACGGTCCTCCACCCTTTAGCAACATCGGCTGCTAGCGCGAGAAGAGGAGTCGTGGCAGGCCTGTACGCCATGTCGACCACAACGCCCTCCGGTGCAGCGAATAATGCCGATGCCAGATGCAAGGCATTGGCGGCGGAGGCATCGAGAGTTGTTGCGGAAGCAGGCACAGTCGAAACAATGACAGATGGGGCTTCCTGCGGCCAGTCACCGAGAGTCTCCAGGATATGTATGTTGACTGTGGGGAACGCCTCTCGAAGCTTTTCCGCACTGCCTTTAGTGCGATTGAAGAGATAGATCACCTCCACTCCCAGGTTTTGCAAGGCATAGATGGCAGCACGCGATGTCCCGCCCGCACCTATTACAAGTCCGACTTTGGGCTTCTTTGCGGTGGCAGGCAGCCGCGACTTGATGCAGTCTCGGATACCAATCCAGTCGGTGTTGTCTCCCAAGAGTGAGACAGTGCCGTCGGCGTTCTTCCGCGGGATGATAGTATTGACCGCACCGATGACTTCGGCATGAGGGGTTAGGCTGTCCAGCAGAGGAATCACATCCAGCTTGAACGGAATAGTCACCGAGGCACCACCGAAATCAGGGGCCTTGATAGCTGCTTTAATCTCATCCCCGACGGAGACAGTCTCAAGCAACTGGTAGCGATGAGGCAGTCCAAGGATCTCAAAGGCAGTGTTGTGGATGGTGGGCGACATTGACTGAGAGATGGGGTTTCCGAATAGGTAGAACCGTTGAGCGGGGAGCTGACCTAGTAGATTGAGGGCGGACTGAATCTGACTGAACGACAGCTGCCCTGGAGCGGCTTTCGAAGGTAATAGGGAATGCGTCACCGGGCTGAGGGTCTTGTTCAAGATTCTGGACATCTGGCCTTCGGTACCCATATTGATGGCAATGATAGGTTTCGCTTTGGGTGACGCTTGCGTTCTTGACACGAAATGATACAGCGCCAGATTGTCCTCAAGGCTGTTGGCTTTGCCTACGAGCTTCACAATGTCGCCGATGCTGCTGGCAGAGCCATAGATGTCAGACGTCTGCTTGCTATCCCACTTCAGACCTCCACTCCAGTCGTGCCACGATGCGATAATCTGCGAGGAACCTTTGCGAGCTACCAATGCATCGATGAGCTTCTTCGGCCACCCTATCTCCAGGTCGACGTATTCGACGCCAAGGCGCAGAGCTGCGTGGAAGAGTTCGAACGCTTCTTTCTCTGCTTTATCGGGGAAACTTCCTCCCTGTGAAACAGTTCTGACGGTAAACACAAGCGGCAACGAGGTATGCTGTCGGAGTGCGGCAATTTGCGCAGAGACGTAGGACACGGGGGGGATGTACGATCCAGTCACATCAATGTCCTTGGGTGAGCGCAGGAGATCAACGCGAAGCTCCACCGCGTCCACGCCAGCGGTGAGCTCTTCCATAAACGCCAGAGCCGGCGTGATATCCGGATACGTCAACGACAAGAAGTAGGAACGATTGCCGTTGGTGACGTTGGGAGCAACATTGATACTTTCTCCAGTAACATGGCCGAAGAAACGGCGCACTTCCCTCCGCACGCTGTCGATGTCGGGGCCCGTGTTGGTGAGGACGCCGGTGTAGTTGATGAATTCAAAATTGCAACATTCAGTGAACCAAGGTTCGCGACGTCGGAAGACGTCGATGATAGGTTCTCCGTACGCCGGTCTAGCGGTTTCTTCCCCGAGATACTTGACCACCTCGTCTATCTCGCGTACGATGTGTACGACTGGCCCTTTGGTTGCATAGGCTTTCAACAGGTCACGGGCGCTGGCAGTCTCTACGATGCCTCCTCCCAGGCTCAGAACGTGGCCCGTTGGGTAACGAGTTAGCAAATCTTGAAGGATCTCTGTTTCAGCTTGTCTGAACGCCGGCCAGTCGTTCCTCAGCACGAATTCGCGCACTCCGATCAGGTGCTTCTCCTCGAATGCCACGTCCGCGTCGACAAAGCCCCAACTCAGCTCGTTAGCAGCCAGCTCGCCGATGAAGGTCTTTCCAGACCCGCGCATTCCGATAACGACCACAGAGGGCGCAGATCCTTCTGAAAGGTCACTAGGAGAAGAAGCGCCTTTGTCGTGAGCCAACTCTACGCCTTCTACTCGCAGACCGATCTAAAACGCGACCTTAGTAAGTTAGCCTAACAGTATACCGCAAGACGTACCTTATTCTCCAAATCATCCCACCAGTTAGGCCACGTCTTTTCGACGCAGCGCTTCTCTTCAATGACAGTCTCCTTGATGATCGAGCCCAGGACACTGAATGCCATCGCAACTCGATGGTCATCATAACAATGGACACTGACACCCTCCTTCAGTTCGCCAATCGGCTTGCCAAAGATTTCGAGTCCATCGTCAAGTTCTCTGGTCTGAATACCGAACTTGGCTATAGGAACCTGGGTAAGAGAATGGAAATAAAGGGGTTAAATGGGGGTACCTAGCTGGTCAATCATTGCTTTGATACGATTGCACTCTTTCACACGCTGGTTTGCAATCCCCAGAATGCGAGTGGCGTTCGGGCCTCCAGCGTCGCTCAGTTCCCTTCCAGGGAGAGGAGTTCCGACGGCTACAGCAGCAAGCACAGATGCAGTGAGGAATGCGTCCGTCATGGGCTCCATGTCGACGAATCCGATCGCCTTGAGAGTTCCGATGGGTGGTCCTCTAACAGTCGTCTCTGTTTCTGTTTGAATAACCTCGCATCCCATGGGCTCCAAGACCTCTTTCGCAAATCGAGCGTCTCCTTGAAGAGACGAGGAGCCGATGTTGGCGATCGTGACCTCTGTGCCGGTTATGGCAGCGATAGCAAGCGGGTAGGTGGCGCTACTGGCGTCGCTTTCGATGTTGTACTGTGCCGGGTTCGTGTAAGTTCCCTTAGGGATGGTGTAAAGGTCGAGGAGTTTGCCAGACTCGTCTTTCTCTCTGACAACTTCGATGCCGAACGTCTTCATAATAGCGATGGTCATGTCGATGTATGGCTGGGAGATGACTTGACCCCCAACGAGCTCGAGAGTAACCTGCTCTCGGGCATAAGGAGCGCAGAGTAGGATAGAAGACACATATTGGCTAGATACGGTGGCAGCTAGTTGGATTCTTGAGCCCTTCAAGCCGGCGGGTGCGATGCGGAGAGGGAGGCACCCTGCACCCTCGAGATATTCGACGCTGCTGCCGTTGGAGCGAAGCGCATCAACCAACGGGCCGATAGGACGCTGCTTCATGCGGGCGTTGCCGGTGATAGTGGTACGCTCGCCCTCCGAGGAAGGTTGTACAAGCGTGCATACTGTAGTGAGGAAACGTGCTGCCGTTCCCGCATTTCCAAGGTATATCTCTTTCCCTTTTTGTGGAACTTTGAGAGATCCAGCCCCGCCTTCGACGACTAGGGTTTCTCCTCCGTCCTCCCAAGTGAACTCCGCGCCCTAGGGAATATTCGCTGAGTATAGCTTCGGTTGTTGGAAACGTGTGTTCTTCTTACCTGCAGCTCCTGTAGAGCGTTCATCATCACTTGTGTGTCGTCGGAATGCAAGAGGTTCTTAAGACGACAAGTTCCCTGCGCAAGAGCAGCTAGTAGCAGCGCGCGGTTCGAGATACTCTTTGAGCCAGGAGTCGCCATTGTGATAGGACTGTTCTTAGGGCCCCCAATGGCAGGGATGACCTTCACCGCATCAGACAGAGTTCGAGCAATAACCTCATCCTGGACAACCGTAGCCCTTTCTTCGTACGTCTTCCCAATGCGGGCGAGTAGTACGACTTTCTTCTGTGGACCGCTGTTCTTCTTATCGACCTTCATGATGTCCAGCAAATTATCGATCGTTAAGCCTTGTGCAGCCGGCAAACTAGATATCTTCGGGTCTGACAAGGACACAGGCAAATTGTAGGCTTTCAAACATCTCGTCAGTCGCCCGACGGCCACCTGACCGAGTATGCCCAGCGAACGAGCAACTTCAGCTTCGAGGATCATTCCGACACTGACGGCCTCGCCATGCAAGATGGTCGGCGTTACGACTGCTTCGATAGCATGTCCGATTGTATGTCCAAAGTTGACCAGGTTACGGAGCCCAGTCTCGCGCTCGTCAATCGTGACGATGTGTGACTTGACGGAAATCGAGCCCACTATGACGGATAGCAGTAGCTCCTGCGCTGCAGAGCGCGTAGCCTTTGTTCGACCGGAGAAGTCCTTCGATGGTGTTTGGATTGCGGCGAATATTTCCGCTGAACGTGACTCGAGGGCATTAAATTCTTCCTCGTTCCAAATAGCTGCAGTCTATAAGCAGTAAATACACACGGAACCCTCTCCAGCATGACCGAATCAATTACCTTCACAACCTCGGCCATTCCGTTCGAGAATTCGCGTGCGGGAAGGGTCTCAAGGAATGCTGCGTCAATAAAGATGTATTCCGGCTGCCAGAACGCGCCGATCAGGTTCTTCCCATGGGGAGTGTCAATGGCTGTCTTCCCTCCCACACTCGAGTCCACCATCGCAAGC